AACCATTCGTGCCATGAATTTTGGTACGACTGATATTGGAGATGGAGAACTACCCTCTATAAAACCGTCCCAGATACTGGCTTTTGTCAAAGCCCTGTGACTGTATGATGAATTATGACTCAAGAAAGGGGGACACAATGGATCTGTAAGGTCGCAGTGATTAACCCCCCTCCCACTCATTCTAAATTCTATCTCTTACTGTTCTTACTTCTGAAGTTATTTTGAAATTTCTATAATGTTAAAAAATTCGTTATTAGATAATTACATTCTGCTATTATTTATTTATTTATTAACATTTCTTTTTCGGTTGATATGCAAATGGTACGCCATTAAAACAATTAAACGAAAATATAATTCTCCAGCATATTTGATATGGCTTAATAACCTGCCGCCAGTGGTGAACAACTCGAACAGACACAGAAGAAGAAAAATTTTCTTTCACTTTCGTTTGCATATTTAATAATTGGTATTAAGTGTTGTTTTATCTGGGCGCTTGTTAATTAATGATTAAGTGTTTAAGAAAAAACTGTAGACAAAATTGTTACAAAAACTGTTCATTGGAAAGAAAGGAAAAAGTAGTGTATGTTGAAAGGAAAGTTATTAATATTTAAGATTTCTTATGTTTTTTTATGTAGTTTAATCATTGACATCTGGGATTTTCTACAAAGTAAAAAAACAGTGAAACCAACATAATTAAAGTAACTAAATGAGGCAACATCCTATAATAATTGTGTATTAAATTTTTTAGCCCTCCATATACAGAGTGGTCCGAACTGTATTCCGGAAACTTCGGTAGCATATTCTGCAGATAAAAATAATTAAAAAAGTTCGTATAAATGTATGTCTTAAAATGTTTAGTTTTGAAGATACAGGGTGTTGAAGTTTCATTTTTATTTCGATATTTTTAAGTAACGTCAATATTTGGATGAAAATTGGTGTCTGGGAGTTTTTTGACATGAAAAATTTGATTTTGATGTCAATATGACTCCTATTTGTAGGGGGCGCCACATACATGTGTTTTAACTGTTTTGAAGAGTCATAACTTTTTTTCCGTACCTGTATAAAAATACTGAGTGGAAAAATATACATTTTCGTGACTTTTTACGTAAAAAATATATCTTGGTAAAAATAGCTACGAGCAACCGTTCTCAAGATATTTAGAATGGAAATAGTCAATACATGTCATTATTGACAAAAAATAAACACGTTGTAGACATTGTTGTTTTTTTTTTCAGTAATGATGATAAAACAATTTCTGTTGAATTTTTGGCACAAAAATATTTCAAATTTATGATTTCAGTCTAATAACTACTTATTCAAAATGTTTAATTTATGTCAATGATGACAGGTATTGATCATTTAGATTCCAAATATCTCGAGAACCATTACTCGTAACGATTTTTACCAAGAGACTTTTTTTAGGTAAAAAATGTAAATGAATATTTTTTTACTCGGTAGTTTTATACAGGTACGAACGAAAAGTTATTACTTTTCAAACCAGTTAAAAAAATATGTAGGTGGCGCCCTCTAGAAGTAGGAGTCATATTGACATCAAAATCAAATTTCTCATGTCAAAAAACTCGCAGACACAAATGTTCATCCAAATATTGACGTTACTTCAAAAATTATTTGGAAAAAATTGAAATAAAAATGAAACTTCTACACCCTGTATCTCCGAAACTAAGCATTTTAGGACATACATTTATACGAACTTTTTTACTTACTTTTATTTGCAGAATATGCTGCCGAAGTTTCCGGAATACAGTTCGGAACACCCTGTATACTCCATATGTTATCTTATATCTGTTAAGGACGGAGGTGTTTAGAGCATTAACAGAATTAGGGGTTAGCAAGAAAGTGACCAAGATGATAAAATTGACACTCCAAAAGACAGTAAATGAAGTCAAAGTAAACAAGAAAAAATTTATAATCAGTGACGAATTAAGACAGGGGGGTCCACTATCTCCAGTACTGTTTAGTGTAGTATTAGACTAGATAATTAGGACCTTCTGGATACAAAAAGACACCTGCCTTTGCAGATTATTTAGTTATCTTAGCAAGAGATCGGAAATTAATTATAGAGATATATAATTAATATTATAATAATATTTAATAATTCATTATTATTAATATATATAATTATATATTATATAAGAGATCGGAATTATTAAGAGTACGAACATCTCTAGAAGTTTAAAAATTAGAATGTACCAAACAATGATACGACCAATAGTGCTGTATGCATGTGAAACGTGGACGATTTGGGAAAGAAAAATACTGAGGAAGTTGTTGTGACCAATTTGTTCATTTTTAATCAAAAATTCTTTAAACTTAAAGTACTACTTAACAACAGATTATTTTTTGGAATACAATGCACTTTTAAAAAATTAGGAATTACTAGAAATACTGTTATAATCATAACGCGCTTATAGAATTGCCTATAATAAGTATTTTATCATAATATTTGTCGTTTATTTTGAACTGGGCTATGACAATTGTTTTTTTATATTTATTTTTATCATAATGAATATTAATAAGAATATAATTGATAACATTTAAGTAACTTTTGTCATTTTCTTTGAGTAGATAATTGTTACATTATTCGATATTATTTCGGAATTCTGAAAATTGAACTATTTTTTTTTTAATTTTTGTATAGTATGTTATCAGTAGTTATAAAAATGTGTCAAATATTATCATGAAATGTTAAAAAATGTATTTTGTTAGTTTCTTTTACGTTAATAACACTTTCCAAAAATTAAAACTAAACTTTTTCCAACAAAATATAAGGTACCTATAATTATGGTTATTTATCAGAAAACCCTAATAATCTTGAGTCATAATTTTCTACTAAAGGTCAGAGAATTTGACGCAAAAGAGTACTAAATTATTATTACCTACATTTTATGCATATTTTAATCTGGAAATGATTCAAGGTATTTCATAAAATGTGTTAATCATATCCGGTCTATCTAAATCTGTGGGAATAAATCGGATAAGTCAAGAAATTTTTGTCTTTCGAGGAAGCTTGGAATTTATTAAACCAAAAGAGTTAATTAAAATTACCAGAAGCCATTTTTTGAATGAAAAATACAGAAGCACTCAAAGTATATTATTAATCATCATACATACAGGGTATCCTAATGTTCCGTCCACCCTAAAATTTTGATGATTTTTTAAGCAAATTGTAGATAAATTATTTGACTTTTTAGTGTCTCTTTCTAAATTAGAAGCAAAACTTTTCATCTGTCAATTATACCAAGGAAAACAAAATGTTGATATTTTAATGAAAGTTTGAAACACCCTGTGGAATATATTAGCAATGCAAGGAATTTAAAAATCATTTTATCATATAGGTACATCTTTTCTCAATGGTTTATGTTTTATCAAAAGTAGTAGATAAAATAGTACTTTAACCGCAAAGGTAGATTAAATGATACTGTAACAGCGAGGATAGGTTAAAAGCTTTATTTCTTTTCGCACGTTTTTTAATTGCTTCTATTTTTGAAAATTTTTCTATTCCTTTTCATAAGTTATTAGGGATTTAAATGGAAGTAGTTTGGACAATGAAATTACAGGAGCAAAGCAAATTTTTAGAGGCGTAAGACAGGGATGTGTCCTCTCCCCACTCCTGTTTAACCTATACTCAGAAAACATCTTCCAAGAAGCGCTCGAAGGACAAGAAATAGGCATCAAAGTAAATGGCATACGGATCAACAATATACGGTACGCAGATGACACAGTCCTGATAGCGGATAACATGAATGACCTCCAAACACTCTTGGACATGATTGGAATACACAGCCGACGTATGGGAATTGACATCAACACAAAAAAAGACAAAATTCCTAATAGTTACCCGCAAACCAGATGACTACCAGAATGCAAGACTAACGCACAATGGGGAAGACATAGAACGGGTAAAAAAAAGTTCAGCTATCTGGGAACTTGGGTATGTGAAGACTGGTCTTCGGACGTGGAAATCAAGTGCCGTATAGAAAAAGCGAGGAGCGCATTTATGAAATTTAAAAACGTCTTAACCAACTCTGACTTTGACCTTGACCTTAGAGTAAGATTTACAAAATGTTACGTATGGTCCGTGTTACTATATGGTATGGAAGGCTGGACATTGAAAGTCAGAAACATGAACAGGCTGGAAGCGTTCGAGATGTGGGTCTACAGAAGAATCTTGAAAATCCCATGGACAGCAAGAGAGACCAACGAGGAAATCCTGAGGAGGATGGGGAGAGAGCGTGAACTGCTAAGCACAATAAAACGCAGAAAAACAGCGTACCTGGGACATGTTATGCGCAATGAGAGATACCATTTACTCCAACTAATAATAATAGAAGGAAAGATAGAAGGAAGAAGGGGATTGGGCAGGAAGAGGATGTCGTGGCTCGGAAATGTTAAACATTGGACGGGAATAAGAACTACAGGAGAATTAATTCACGCCACCGGAGAGAGAGAAAGATGGTCAGAACTGATCGCAAACATCCATTAATGGATAGCAGCAGAAGAAGAAGAGTTTGGATATGGCGTTTGTCACCTCAGCTTGAATATCTGTTGGTCATTTACTTATTTCGTTTTGAGCCATTTCTGGCTCCAATTCAATCAGCAACACGACGATAAAATTGCATTATCGTCTCCCGAAATTAATTCACTGGCGATTTTATCGCTCGTGAATTAATCTTTACGGTCGACGATAAAATACCATTTCATCGTCTTGTATAAAAAATAACTAAAGAACGATTTATTTTAGGTACAGGAACAAAAAATCCTGAAAATCCTCGACCTTAACATCACACACCTCCCCCAAGCGGTCCCCATTCCAATTGACACCACTGACACCCTCTCCACCTTTAATCACCCTGACGTCACCAACGCACCACCGTCTCCAACGTCAATCTCCTTCTTCCGTCGGACGGACAATTCTTACTTCTTGGTACCGGGCTGCGGTACTTGGTGGTGGCATAGGAAGGTTTTATAAGGCCCAGCCGCCACTCACCTGGGTGCCGTAGGTGATCGCGCGTCGAGCACAGACAGACACGCATTCACAGCCGTTGTTGTCGCGGTGCGCGCTGCTCCGTATTTTGGGTTGCATAGTCGTAAGGGCGCGTGGCGCGGGCAGTTTGAATCTGAATTGGATCTTAGTGCGATTTAAAAGGATTATAATCAAAGAATAGGAGAAAATGCGGTGGTGTCCGTTGCTGGTGGTGATGTTTGTGGTGATGGGTGGTGGGATTGCTGTCCGAGTGGGCACGTCCGGTGGGCCTCAAAGTACGAGAAAAGGTAAGCGATGGTGATTGTGTTTTGAAAGAATAGAGTGACATAATTAGAGAGGTTATGATGGTTATTGTGACCCAGGATGTCCAGTAGGGTGTCCGTTATTTACCAAGTTGATAATTTCTAATTCACGACGTCCTCTAAATTTTTAGTTTATTATCTAAAAAAAATAGCAGACCATTGTAAACCAACAAATCATTGCTTTAATTTAAATTACATCGGAATTTGCCACTTTTTGCAAATAATTTTTTTTCTCTCGATCTTGTTCTCTCGCAGCCATGGCAATCACATATTCTTGTACAGAACTGAATGCTCTTCAAAAAAGGTCTCTCACAATTTTTCGAGAAACCTACTCCTTCAAAAGTTATACACGGTTAAAATTAACCACTCGGTGAATTCCTAAATTTTTCAACTTTTTCGACAAAATTGTGATTATTTTTGAAACATTTACGTCTAGGGGTTGACCTTGACAAAATTATTATTGATTCTCATACCTCAGCTGTCTTCGATGCCGTTTTTTTTTCGATCGTATGGTACTAGATTTAAATTAAATTTGCGCCGAACGGTATTCTGACTGGAAATAAATAAACTTGGATATACTGACTTTATCTGGAAAATATAGTCTATTCGATGACAAAGTCTTTGACAGTGATAGATGTCTCTGTCATTTTAGTTTTAAAGTAGTTTACTTTATTTTACAAAGAAATAGTAAGGTACAATTGGAACGCATAGCAGGAAATTAATATATTTAAAATTTGAGTGACGAAAAAACTATATAAAACTGAAAAAATCTAATCGAGTTATTTCATTTGAAAAAAAAAATTACGGTATGTGTTAATACAAAACAAAGAAGGGTGTATTTTAAATAAAACACTACATACCAAAAGAATATAAAAAAAACTATTTCCTACTTTCAAACTTCAAGAAATTTCCTGCATACACTGTTCGGTTTTTATATGATTCAAAATAAAAAATACATAAATTGTAAAATTACTAATTTTTTAATGGCCATAATGCGTTCTTTGAAAATCATCGAGCAACTAAATCATTTCCATAGATCCAATGACGTCCACTTTGAATTTTAAGACCAAAAACTGAAACAATAATTTGTCAAAAAAATCATATTACAGGTATATGTTTTATTTTGCATGAAAATGTTAATTAATAAGTTAGAATAATTATAATTCTTCCCTAACTAAGTGGTTTTATCGCTAAATTTAACTAAAGCTAAGTACAACACAAATCTTAAATACGTGGACTATCATAACAACAAATACATCGTAAAAGACTAAAATTAATAATTAATTTTTGATAGCATTCTGAACGAGAATTCAAGTTAAACTTTTTAGAAAACAATTTAAAGGAAAAATGTTAATTCAGTTAATATTAATTTTTGTATACTGCTCAGATTTATCTGGTCTTCTATCATATATTTTGGAAATTAGAGAATTATCTGAAGATTTTCATGTAAAAATTGGCATTGATAGTGGTGGTGGATCACTTAAAGTTTGTCTGAATGTGCTCCCTGAAAATGATCCCGAATATTTCAAGAAATATAAAAGTGCTGGAATTAATAAACTATTCATAATTGGCTTAGGACCAAAGTTGTCTGAATCTTATGATAACATTAAAAGCCTCTTTGAGACGTTAGATCTGCAATCCATATGTGGAATTTGTTCCTATATTTTTCCGCTGACTTTAAGCTTATTATGATTCTCCTTGGTCTTCACTCAAATTCATCCACTCACACTTGCCCATGGTATGATGTAAATGTAAAGCAAATGGAAATTAAAGGATCATTCAGAACTATAAAAAGTATTACAGAAAATACAAATTTATGGCAACAATCTGGAGGAAATATAACAAAAGCCAAAGATTTTAGTAAGCGTTTTTGTTTGAAATATTTTTTTTTGTATTTTTTAAACTGTTGTTCAATGAACCATATAAAAAAGGGCAATTATTTTTTAGAAAACTGTATAAACATACCTTTAATCATTGGCGACGAAGAAACACCTGTCTTAAAGTATATTCCCCCTCCTGAGCTTCACCTTGTGTTAGGTGTGGTTCAAAAACTATTTGATTGTCTTGAATTGGAGAACACCAATGTTTCAACAGAATGCGGGATTGAAACTAGATCATTCTGGAAAATGTAACGGAAATAACGCCAGACAACTTTTAAAGAAAGTGGATATTTTGAAGACGATATCGCCCGGTCAAGAATCCTATTCAAAGTTTTGACAAGCAAAAACCTAAACATCTTTTTTTTAGGAAATAAATATATTGCAGTGTTTTCTGCATTCAATCAAGTAGTTTCAAGTTGTTTTGGTCAAGCACTAAACAAACATTTTGAACATGACATCGAACAATTTAGATTGGAAATACTCAACTTAGGTATTAAGATAACTCCAAAGATTCGTGCAATTCTGCATCATGTGCCAGAGTTTATAAAAGCAAATCATAGAGCTCTAGGATTTTACTCGGAACAAGCATCTGAGCAGGTTCATTTTTCCTTTAAATTATTTTCTAAAAAGTTTAACTTGAATCCTCGTTCAGAATGCTACCAAAATAGTCTTTTACGATGTATTTGTTGTTATAATAGTCCACGAATTTAAGATTTGTGTTGTACTTAGCTTTCGTTAAATTTAGCGATAAAACCACTTAGTTAGGAAAGAAATATAATTATTAAAACTTATTAGTTAATATTTTATGCAAAATAAAACATATAGCTGTAATATGATTTTTTTGACAAATTACTTGTCAGTTTTTGGTCTCAAAATTCAAAGTCACTGTACGTCACTGGATCTATAGAAATGATTTATTTGTTCGATGATTATGAAAGAACGCATTATGGCGATTAAAAAATTACTAATTTTACAATTTATATATTTTTTATTTTGAATCATATAAAAACCGAACAGTGCATACATTATTATATTTATCAATATAACTTATGTACAAATAAAAAATATTTAATGGTGCATAAGAATAAATAAAACACAACATAAATAAAACAAAATATTTTATTAATAATAACACCTACTGAATTTTATACCTAACTCAGAATACATTATTTTTTACTACCCTGTCAAGGCCTTAACTTCCTAGGGAAGCATCCTTAGGACATAATACTATGTTCATAGAAACTTCTTGTTTTATTTTTATCTCTAAAACCACCTATTAAATTTGGATACACATTTTTTAACACCCTGTATATGTTTCACATAATAAGCAAACTGAGTGATTTAATTCGGAACTAAATATTTTATTACCAATCGCAGGATATATTAATTATGGACAATTAGCTGAAAACGGTTGTTCCACCGTGGTACTTCCCATACAAAGTACGTGTCAAAAGCTCTGAAATATATCGCGCGGCGGTATATATTTACAATGCTGTAAAATATTATTAATTACATGGTATGTCTTAAAATATCTCGTTCGGTTGGCTGGCCTTTCACAGGTTGATACCTTTTTTTTCGGCTCAGTATACTAGTACATTAATCGCTGTAACAAATTGTCGGTGATATAATTTAATTATAACAGTTTGAATTATTTTATTTGATATTAATTTTAAATATACAGATATTTTGAAATCAAATAAATACCAGATTTCATTTGGCATTAACTTGAATATTGATTTCATTCATCTGATTACACTGGGCAACCGCCAAAATATATCTTAAATAAAACCAACAAAATCTTTCTATTTTGGGTATGCTGAAACTGAAAATAAACTTATTTTTTAAATATTAGTTAATATTTTAGAGATACGTTCATGTGTGCCTTTATTTTAAGACCATACGGTCGAAAAAAAGGCGTCAAAGACGACTGGAGAGTGTCAAGCCTTAGTCACTGCTTGGCCCGTAGTCTTCTTCATTTTTTTAACGTTGTTTTCTGCTAGTTAGCCTTAAGAAAGTTTCCATACATATCAGCGACTTTGTATTTTAATATTAGAATATCGATTATGATACAAAAAGAATTCAAAGAAATATGTAACTCTAGATAAGTTGCAAAATAATGTTACTGCGCTCTATATTTACTTATTTTTCTGAAATTATAATAGTCTTAGTCACTTATAGCGTCAATCAAGAAAGTCTATTATTCTAAACGTATGCATAGACAAATGATAAATATTTATCCATACAAAATACATATCAATCAAACTAAAAGGTACTTCACAATTTATAACAAAAAAAAAAGCGCCTGGATAACCTTTTATTCAAATATCATCGATTTGCTATGCAAAAATCATTTAAATATGATTTAAATGTATTCAGCGATAGATGTCAAACGACATACCTGACGATTGGGAGGCTGTACCGGCGTAACAGAAATTTGAATTGTTCATTTATGTTAATAGGAATACATTTGCAAAAAAGAAGTAAAACAAACAGTGAAAAAAAGTATAAAAAAGGAAAATAAATAGAAAGTTAACGGGCATAATATTTACGATTGAGATTTTTTTATCTTGTTTCGCTTAATGGGCTTTTGTAGTACCATGAGGCAGATATGTGACAAAGTGTCTTAGTTTTCTCCAGACAAGAGTAAAAAGCAGATGTTTGTATAACCGTGTCCTGTTGATAAACGGTTTGTTTTCTTTATTTATCGATTCTTTATTCATATTTTTTTTCGTTGAGAAAAAAGTGAAAATTAAATTAACAGTACAGGGTGTTTCTTAATGACATGCTAATATTTAAGGAGGTTCAATAAAAATGATGAAAGAAGACTTATTATACTTCTTTATTATATGGTATATCACTGATTCTTCTACCATGTGTACATTCACCGTTCTATATCCTTCCTGCGATAACCTTCGGCTGTAAACTAAATACCCAGAACTATATTATCTTTCTTCGTTCCTGTTATTTACAGCTGTTTGTTTTACCGTGTTCGAATACTTAATGAAAGAGAACGTAATTTTTATAAACTCTTATATTATAATCATTACGATTTAGAATACTACCAGCTGTAAATTCTCTATCTCTAAATTACCCACAATTTATTTT